TTTTCTCAGAGAGACTAGATTACAGGCCTTGGAGAAACGGTCAATGATGATGAGGATGGTAGTCATACCTTTGGAGGTGGGGAGACCTGTGATGAAGTCGATGGCGATGTGTAACCAGGGTCGCTTGGGGATGGGCAAAGGTTGAAGCAGTACAGAAGGAGGTTAATGAGAGGGTTTGTTGCGAGCGCAGGTCGGGCAGGCTAAAACGAACTTCTTGACATCATTCAGCAAGGAGGGCCACCAAATGCACCGACTCATGTGGGCTACCGCCCGACTGATCCCTGGTGGGCAGAAAACTTAGAAGAATGAATCCAAATGATCACACAAGCTCGGCTGGAGGAAGGTACATAAATTCTGTTAGGTGTCCCGGTTCTAGGATCAGGTTCAGTCTGTTGGGCCTGTTTAACGAGATCCTCAATCTCCCAGGTAACTGTGGCAACTGAGCAGCTAGGAGGCAGGATGGGAGCAGCCGACTCCTCAGATTTGTCTGGAGAAAACTGCCTAGAAAGGGCGTCCGGTTTAGATAGAGATAGAGGTTGAATCGAGAGAAAAACTAGAACCAGCAGGATTGGCGGAGGTTGAGTCTTTTGTCGGATTGGATATAGGAGAGATTTTTGTGATCTGTCCAAACCTGAACCGGATGTGCAGCTCCATCTAGCCAGTGTCTCCATTCCTCTAGAGCCAACTTTATGGCCAATGTTAGGATTCCTGTCTGTGTGGTTTGTGTTTTTGTGTTTGTCTCCCTTCCTCCACCAGGAGATGCCTGGTTCTGGTCTGCCTCCTCACACACCTGTGGAGGGTTACCTCGTTACCGGAGTGCTCTTAAGCTGCTGACTGCCACTACCTCAACACCAGTGTTTGCCAGGTTTGGGTACTCTAGCCAAGCTCAGTTTTTACTGAGTCAAACTGAGTTTTGTCAACCTGAATTCTATTGTTATTGTTATTATTATTATTTTGTCTTTGCCTCCGGCAGGAAGTCATCCTGCAAACTGGATGTTTTCGGACCTTCTCTCCTTGGAAGGATCATCTGAGCTTCAAACTGAGCTGGGGATTCAAACGGGAGGTTTGGATCTACATTCCCCAAGGGATTGTTTGAGCTTCACACTGAGCAAGGGATTCATCTCCACACCAACCCTTTCAAGTACTGCAGGAAATCCAAATTACAGTCAGTTTCTCGGTTCACCTACAAACAACCCCATTCAGGGTAAACCCTGTCCACCCTCCACCGAATGGGAAAGACACTGGAACTACCGCACACAGACTGGAGTCAAAGAGTCAACCACTTTTCTGGAAACGTGAGTCAGCAACCTAATTCTTCTCTTCAAGTTAAAGAATCTAATTTCCCACTAAGCCTGAACTAACCGCAGTGTCTTCCCTCACTTTCCCGTTCCGGTTGAGCAGTGTTCAGAGCAACACTAGATTCTGCATCATCTCCTCAATAAAACTGTTAAACCTTTTCCCTGGTCTCTCTGAAATTGGTTTCTCTGCATGCGGGTCCGAGCTCTTGATAAAATCATGACAGAACACTCTGGCCAAACCGCTGACCCCGCAGAAGCCATTCAGAGAGCCATTCACCATCAGCAAGCTGCCTTGTCCAGACATGATAACACCCTGGTTGAGCTGGTAAATTAACAGACCGAATTAAACCGCTGATTTACAGATCTAACTGAGGCTGTACGCTTTTCTCTCCAGGCTTCGGTCCCAGCCGGCGAGCTAGCCCCGCAGCAAGCTAACCAGGCCGTTTGTTCTCCCCCTGATTCTGACTGTCAGTTGGCTAATCCTCCCAGGTTTGACGGCGATACCAAGATGTTCCGTGGATTCCATCGTTCAATTCAACCACACTCCGAGTAAGTTTCTCCAGGACTCTGCAAAGATCTCATATATTATCTCGCATCTTACTGACCAAGCTTTGGACTGGGCTGAGGTAAGATTTTCCTCATCCTCTAATTATGGCTGCACTTTTGATCAGTTAACTTTCAACCAAGAAACAGACAAATCACTAACCTCTCGCTAGCTTTTGAGTTTAAAACAGGGACAAAGATCTGTTTCTGATTTCGCCATTGATTTCCGTATTATGGCAGCTGCCTCAGGCTGGGACAAAGTAGCCCTTAAAAGTGTTTT